GAGTCAAACCGGTGCAAGGCAGCTTTAATTATATAGCACATTTTACACAGAGGCAATTCAACGAGCTTTGCACAGGCAAAGATAAACAGTAACAGCATTAAAACCAGAATAAAATCACTTAAGACAAAATGAATGTAAAACATTGTTAAAGGGAGATAAATTACATGAAATGAAAATAGATACATACAAAGTAAAAGGTCTGAAACATGAGAATCTAGCAGTTACAGTGGAGTCATAGTTTATAAATTGCCATGAATGCAACAGATGAAATAAAAGTGCAACACAGAAACTAGTGAATGACTGTTTCAGGAAACCAACAGAGTTTTCAAATGAGACATGAAAGATATGTAGTTAGGGTACATTGTATTGGTAAGTTGGTTCCATGTGTGTGTGCAGAATAGCAGCTAAAAGCATCTTCATCCTGTTTAAGTTTTCAAATGAGACATGTTAGGGTACATTTTATTGGGAAGTTGGTTCCATCTGTGTGCAGTATAGCAGCTAAAAGCATCTTCACCCTGTTTGTATGCAGTCATATATAATGAAGTGCAAGATAAGACTGATCCTATTTATCATAAGAACATATTTGCATTTATATTACTATTTATATGTAGTAATATTTTACTGGGAGCTACAAATGTCCTGCACAGTGTTTCATTCAAGGTCAATTGACAATCATTTGCAGTGCAAAGTCTCATTAGCCCAGGTTAATGTGCTTCACTCAGCACTGAGGTTTGTATTTATGAGAATAAACTGTTCACAACATGACTGAATGACAGAATGAGAAACTTGTGCCTGAGGCCACTGTCGAGGGTCTGTGTGGTGCTGCAGCAGAACAGTCTGCTCAGAGGTGACGCAGTATTTCTAAAACAGTGTAAAAATGACAATTGACTATGTGCCACAGCTAACAAATTTTTATACCTCTCCCATCCAATGTATATGAAGATTTCTTATTTTTTCATTTGAGATGATGCCAAAACGTTTTGGCACTTACGGCTCAAGCACAACCATGGATAAGTGGCTAATGTGGGGCAGCTATCGCTAAAAGGGGTATGATTTGGACAATAGAAATCCATAGAAAAACAAAACAACTGTACAGCGTATTGTATTATATTACCATACATACACAAGCTAAGATAAACTCACAATATGCAGCATGTTTTTATCCCAGAAACACTGAAAAATACGTAGGCATATCTGTCAGTTTACAAAACTGCTTGTTGGATGTTTTCATCACAGGCAGCTTTGAAAAAACAAACAAAATATCCATGTAGATATATTTGGGCCTCTTGTACACCCATATAGAGACAAAAAGTCTTGACGCTCACTCTTTTGACTGTGCCCTTGCAGAAAACGCAACTAACACTGACTGGACACAAAAAGCCTACGTCTGGTCACTGGAGGTACTGCTTGAATGGTGATCAATGGCAGTGATAGAGCACTTGGAAAAACAGTGCTCCTGTCTTGGTTGTTTTGCCATTTTTCACACCACACATGCACCAGAATTGCCCAAAAGTTTTAAACCTGTTTCACTTTTACATTTGTCTCCTAGTCTGTGTGCCAGACTCTCATTAGGAATCCCTGTCGCTGTCATCGCCCCCATACATGTCTGCCAGTTTCTTAAATCGGGGTCCCCACTCACTCAGGTAGTTGTAGTCTTGGTCACCTTCTGTCGTCACCGACTCAAGTGAACTAAGGGACTCTGCTACGGAACCGTTTCCTTCGTAGGCGTAGGTGGCCAGGGAGTCGTAAGGCGGTGCTGTTGGGTCACAATCGTTGTCCTGGAGCCTCTGGCTGATGAAGTCTCTCACATCTCCATTATTGTCCCTGGTTGGTGGCACCACAGGCCGTCGGACTGGAGGGTAGAAGGTCTCTGGGACAATGTCCCTCCGCTGCTTGCTCTCCTCGATGGCCTCCGGGTTGCGCAGAGTGCCAATATCAAAGGCCTGAGTATCCTCTTCTCCACCCCCTTCATCGTTGTAGCTGACAACATTGTCTCTGACATCCTCTTTGGAGATGATCAAAGGCTCCTTTTTCCTCTGCCTCCTCAGGGCAGCAAACAGCACCACGATCACTACAAGGAGAACAAACATAAAGAGAACAAACAACAGAGTTTGGTGACTTTTGCTGCTGGTTCTTTGCTCCCCCTCCTTGATCCGGAGGCCAGAGAATGTCCAGGGGGAACCGTTGAAGTTGCATCAGTGTTCAAAGATCTTCCCATGTTGGGATTTTGACTTGAACAGAGATACAGTGATAAAGTTTGAAATTTGTATCATGTGTGAAGTCCCAGACTTCTTCTCGAGTCCAGATAGTGGAAAGAATTTCAGTCACACATCAAATATCAATGTGCACATATTACCTTTATTTGCAGATGCATCTGGAGATCACTGCCAGCAGCAGAGCAAAATGTTCTGAAGTGAAACTCACCCAGACTGTGTATTTTATGATATTTCCCCCTCCCCTTACACATTCTTGCTCATGCTGATCATGCAGCTGAAATCAATTGATACTAGCCAAAATTCTCTCTCATAATACACAGCTGTACCTCCCCGAAACCGAAGTTACATTCTTGTGATAAGAAAAGCACACACATAATGATTTAACGAGCATTCTGTGAGATTGTGAAAATTATATTATTAAAACTTATCCTTATAAGTGTATTCCATGAAAAACAGTGGAGTGTTCCAGACAACTTTATATCCCACTGTGTAATCATTTACTTTCCCTTAGGTTACTCCCTTGAAACAGAGCTGTGCTAGGCACAACTCCCCAGAAGTGCATTTAATAATGAGTGAACACGCTACAACTATGTGAAGGTTATACTTTTATCTCATAATGCAATGTCTTATTAAAGTGACAATTTCTAAACTATGTTAGTTCTTTTATTTATATAGCAACCCAAATACTTCAATATGTCACACATGCCAAAACAATTTTGCCAAAAAAATTCTTTGATAATGAAAATTCCAAATCCTAACAATGACACAGACTTATTAGAGCAGCAAAGATGTCTGCTGATTAGCCAGTTCAATTAGATTGTATACATTTATTATTATTTACATTTATTACAATTAAGTTTGTATTACCGTCATTATAAAACGGCATTCCATTCTCTGTTTTTATTCATTGTGTGTTAGATAATCATTGTGCAGACCTCATTAAAGTCCCCATGTCATGCTCATTCTACTCTTTTGCATTTAATGTTTGATCTTGGGTACCTCTAGATTAGCTTTGCACCCATTTTAACTCCAAATATTCTATAATTATTTCAGCATTATAAAACTAGAGACCCTCTTTCAAAAAATGAAAGGATAGTTCATGAACACGCTCAATTCCTACTGCTGTGTCAAAAGTGGACAACACAGTAAACCGTTCATTCATTTTCTATACCGCTTAGTCCCTAACAGGGTTGCTGGAGCCAATCCCAGCCGGCATCGGGCGAAAGACGGGGTACACCCTGGACAGGTCACCGGTCCATTGCAGGGCCAACACGCAGATGAACAACCACACACGCACACTTACTCGTACAGGCAATTTAGAGTCACCAATCAACCTAAGCCGCATGACTTGGGACAGTGGGAGGAAGCCAGAGTACCTGGAGAAAACCCACACAAGCACGGGGAGAACAAACAAACTCTGCACAAAATGGTCGTGAACCACGGGACCTACTTGCTGTGAGGCAATGATACTACCCACTGTGCCACTGTGCCGCCCCACAATAAACTACAACAGGATTAACTAATTTGAATTTCTCCACCATAGATGGGTAAACAATGGTCTCTTCAGGACTGTGCATACTTGAGGGATAAACCCAATAGTGACAGCT